TCCTGTTTGGAAAAATATAAAAGCTGAATATCATAAATAAGCTTTTAATTTGTGTTTAATGGAGGCCATCATTTTGGGCTGCTGCATTCGACTATTAAAGAGAAACAGAGATTTTAAATGGGATCAATTCTGCTGTCACATAGTTAATAAAAATGAATAATTATTTACCTATCAAAGAAATTTTGTGGGGAATTGGCATATAACAAGGTGATTGGAAGTTCCATTCAAAGATGAATTTGGATTTTAATAAATAATTTATGAACCTCCAGTGGTGGATGGCTAATCCAGAAATGCAGTCTTGGTCACTGCACATGAAGCAAGTAAATTCACATTTAAAGATAAATTCTGAAACCTGCATCCTGAGCACTTTCCTTGCAAATCCCATTGCCTAACACATAAAACTAAAATGAAATGCATGAAGTCCAACTTGTTGAAGGACTAAGCATATTCAATCCCTTCTAATTTGAGCTACCATTTACATCAATCAGTCTTCTGGAAGGAAACTAGTTTGGAGTCACCTTCCTCATCCTTGTTGTTCCTTAAAGGATTCTTTTAATTCGAGGGAAATTTCATGGATTTCAATAGTAATGCCACTAGAGCTGCTATTATCTCTCTGAGCAGTAATACAAGCAAATACAGCCACTGCAAAAATAGAAAAAGAATTCCTACATGCATCTCATGCTTGTTAAATCTCATCGTTAAATCTCATCATTAATGCTGTGCTTAATCACTTGCAGAGAGTTTTTTAATTCTTATTTAAGGATAAATATCTGCATTTCTTCACAGTAAATAAACAAGCTTTTGCACCACCTCACTTGTGACAGAAATTAAAAATAAGCCATGAATTGATAACAGTTAGTTTTGTTCCTCTTTGGATCAGACATTTCAGAAACCCCATGCCAGCTGAGCTGACCATTCTTCTCACTCTGCATTTTTGTTTGATGGTTAAATTTATGTACAGATTAGTTTTCAACGGCTTTTGGCCACATTTTAAGGACTAGGTCTAAATCTGTTTCTGTGCATATAGGTCTTGATATCTGGGATGTGTTTTTTAATAAATATCTTCCTCCAAGTAGCCTGCCATCCTCATCAATTAATGCTTTTGAGTAGAAAGCATGAAGCTTGCTTGAGTTCCTACATGCAGTCCCCTCAAATGAATGTTTCAAGCAAAAAGGCAGAGGAGAGGAGTGCAGCTAGAGAGAGAAACTCATTTTTGCTGTTGTGGTATCCAGAAAAGTGCACTGGGCTGATATAGGGACAATGGTCACTATTGTTGTCTGTGTCTAATTACTAATCATGCACTCTTTGTTTAAGAAAAGGAAATTAAAATTTTCTTTCATCTTCTGCTCCTTCCTATTTAACTCCTACATGTCACTAATAAAGTATAATATTGCACAGTATTACTCCAGTGGTAAAACTCCTATTTCCCTTCTCCTAGCCCCATGTTTCGCTGCAGCTGTGCTGCTCTCCCAAATGAACATGCCAGATCTCTGGGATTCTCTCTGCTGTCTCTAATTCCTGATTGTTTGACCTCAGAGCTGAGTGATGAAGGTTCTATCCTGACACCCACCTACAAGAGGCTCTTCCAAGGAGCTGTTTAAAGTAGCGTGAGCCACTGCACCATCAGCAGGATGGCTGTGGGCAATGAATGAATGCTACAAAATGCTGGCCCTGGTTTCCATTTCAGGGCCATGGGGGAAGCCTGGGGTGACAGGACAGGAGCAGCTGAGCAGCCTGGGTGACTCTGTCCAGGCACCAAGTGACAGAGAGGAGAATCCTCCCTGAGAAATGCAGCACAGCCCACCCAGAGTATTCTGCAGACGAGAGGTCTCAGAGGCTCTGCTGCATCTCCCTGTGCGGTTCAGCAGTGGCACACAGGACAAAGTCACTGTGGCAGTCCCAACCCTACTGAGAAGGAATTAGGAGCTGTTCTGATGGCTGCATGGTGATCCAGTACAGGAGGTCACTTAACAGGTTGTTCCTTTGCCATCTTCAAATTTGTGGCACTAAATACGACACTGAGTTTTCTTGGGAAACTCAAAGAGGAACAAAAATCTGCCTCCTATCAATTTCCCTAACTCCCCCTTCCATGAAAAAGCCCTTTCTGAGCTGTGGATGCAGCATCCTTGGAGCCAACAGAAAGTTTTGCTAAATGAAGGACTTTAACAAAGGACTTTGTCAGGTAGTCCCACCAGGCATAATATTTTCTTTAACAGACACGGTGGTTAGGAATGCCACAAAAACTGTGCACTTTGCCCAGGCAGGACCAGCCAGGGTCTCTGCTCTGAGCCTTTGCTTTGGCCTCCAGCCCAGGGGAGCATTTGGTCCTGGGTGCTGCTGGGTGACTCTGCTGATGCCACCATCAATTCAGGAAGGGATTGCAGTTTTAGTGAGATTCCTGCTGGATGTTTGGTAAAGCACCATCCACAGCATTGCACAGCTTATGGAAATCTTTTCTTTGGATCACAGTCTCACTTATATATTATTAATTTTTTTTTCCAGAGGATAAAACAAAGGTATCATCATTTGCTGTGAAAAAATATAGGTTAGAAATGTGTCTTGGGGTTTGTTTTTTATTTCATGCTATTTCTCTTCCCTTTTAACATCCAGGAGAAAGAGTAGTCATGTGAGTTCAGCTCCTCTGCTCTCCTGTAATCTACCCTTTGATGTAACTAACTGGCAAAAACATATTTCTAATCAAATATAGTTTCTCATCCTTAATCAGCTCAGCTTTAAAATGCAGATCAATGAGATAAGAAAGAGCTGATTTAATTAGCCCAACCTCAGCAATGTTACAGCATATTCTCATTTACAGAAATAATGGGGAGCAAGAGGAAAGAGATTCATCATCATGAAAAGACTGGAGAAGGCAGAGGAAAGCAGGATATTTCCTATGTTAGCTAAGGGTGATTTTCATTCAGGCTAAAGAGCCAGCACATGTTTTATGAGCCATTTAAATAACACTTAGGTCTTGTGCTTCGTCCTTTAGCCTGAGGATGAATTTCCTTCACTAAGCAGCAATACCTTTGGAAATCATCACTTCTGGGTTTAATTGATGAGCCAGAGACAGCTCCCACCACTTGGTGAATAAAGAAGAGGAAATATGGCAGGCAGGAGCAAGGCAATAATGCACATTTATGGAGCAGCTTGGGAACACTCTCCCACAGGAGTGCCAGGCCAGGCACTCTCACCGGAGAGGCTTTAATGGGAACAGCACAGGCTGTGCTCCCTCACTCTGCTGCTGCCTCTTGAGTGGCCACAGGCAGGTCACCTCACCTCTGCATTTCTGGGGGTGTGTTTTGTTTTTCTTTGCTTCCTTCCTCTGTCCCACTAGGATTTGGAATTTCCTGCAGAGTAAATCTCTTCCTTCCCCCACAGCACAGGTCCCCCCACAAGGCAGGACGGTGGCACACCTGGAGCTCTGTGGGATTGCTCTGCAGCTGCTCAAAAAGCAAAACCAGTGCAAGTTCTCAGCTTGCTCTTCCTGTTTGGTGATTTTAAAGCAGCAGAACACTACCTTACCTCCAGCAGCCCTGTCTAACCTGAGTCCAAATGCTCCTCCATCTCCCTGGAGCAGGGGACTCACTGACTAAGGTCAGCCCAGGTTTGGTCAATGCAAGCAGAGAAGTGCTGCCTCCTCCACAAAGAGCACCCAGAACATTTCCATGGCCACACCACTCCTGTAGAGGCCTCAATAAAAGGAAAATCAGACCTGTCAATGTCTAACAAGACTTTTCAGATATCCTCCAGCTGTGGAATTGAGCTCAGAACCTGAACCTTTGGTGAGGTACACCTTGACATTTGTGCTGTTACAAAGTCAGGCCAAATCCACACAAATGAGGATATGCCAGCTCCTAATTTGAGTTCTGGGAATGAAGTTTGTCTTCGTTCCTGCCCATCCATCATTTCAAATGGAGCTATCTTGTGACAGCCACATTTGGTAGTCTCTGCCTGGGAGATAATTGCTCATCACTGAGGGGAACTCACACAGCTGAGATAACCCTCAGGCACTTTCTCTGCAGGGATGGGAGCACCAGAGGCAAAGCAATTAACAGAGCAATTAAGCCACTAGCCAATCATATCTCTTTTATTTTCCCTCATCTCAGATTTGTGCCACTCTCCAGTGCCTCTAAAAACAAGCAAGGAAAGGCCCTGCTCTCCAGAGGCATAATTCCCTAATTCCCTCAGGTGGGCTGGGGCTGAGATTCAGCTCTAAACCCCATTCCTGACCCTTACTCATCATCATTCTGGGCTTGTGGGACATGGTTTGGCTCCTGCAGACAGAACCAGTGGCCATTTCCTTTCCTGAGAGCCGAGAAACAGCAGTGGTCACTCAGAGCTCTTCCCTATATCCTGCTCCTTCCCTCCCCCAGGCTTGTTCTCCAGGCAATAAATCAGTCTTTTCAGAAGTATTAGATCAGGTATCCAGACTCTGTGGTTTCATGAGAAAGTTTTGCAGAAAAGATATTGGGACAGTCTCACATGCACAAGGGTTGATAAACTGCATCCATAGGTGATGGCATTCACCTTTGGGGGAATGTAAAAACACAAGAACAGAGAGGAGAGAGACATGAGAAGGAGAAAATTCTGCCACAGTCAGGCCCTCCCAGGTCCTCCAGAGTGTTCCTCCCCCATCTCCCTGTCCCAACCTTTCCTTGGACTGCAGCCCTTTGGGAGCAGCTGCTCCTGCTGGGGCTCTCCACAGCCACAAATCCTGCAGGAAATTGGACTGTGGAGCTCCAATTGATGCAAAGGGCCAGAGCTCCCTGGCTCCGTGGAGTTTGGCAGTGTTGTAGTACCCTAGGCTACAATATTAAGATATACTCTATTCCCATCCTGAAGAGCTGCTGAAACCAGGAGGGGCATTGTTTCTTCCTTATCTCCTGTTAATGGGCCCATCAATGCCTTGACTCAGAGATAACTCCCCCCAGGAGCCATTTCTGTTTAATGGACCCACCTCATGACTCATGGAATAATATCAGCCAATATGCTCTGCCTAGGAGGAAGGAGCTAAGCATCCCCACCTGGATATGATCTGGGGTTTGGGGCAGCACAAACAGTCTTTCTACTGGCTTCTCAGAGGAATGGCTTCTTTTCCACTGTATCTGCAGAGGAAGACTACACCCTTCTACAGGATCCCTGCTCCAACAGAACCAAATCTGCCACTCTGGGAGGACTGCAGACACCAATCCAACTGGAGTGCTACCAACACGCTGACCAACAGGGTGTCAGGTTGTATTCTGACTTTGCTGGTGGTTTTTCTTTTGTATTATTGCACATATTTTGGTTTTCTTTTCCCTTTTCATAATAAATTGTATTTCTGACTTGGGGTCTCTCACTGGTTTTGCTTTCAAACCAAACCAGAACACATGGGCATTACAGCAGTGCCCCCCACCTCATCCAGCAGCTTGGTTCTAAATGATTAGAGCCTGAAGGACATGGGGCTAGGCTGCAAACCCTAGCAGGAGACTGCATTTGTTCCTCCAGAGAGCCACTTGAACTGCTGGAACTTAGGAGCAAGTCACCAAACAGCAACCAAATAAAGATCACCTTCTCTTTTCAATGCCTTGAAATGAAGCTCTCCATCAGTGACTCCTCATCATCAAGAAATTTTCAGAGTAACACTCACCCTGTCCCTGACACCTGAAACCTGCACATCCCTTCATTTAGAGGATGCACAATGCTTTTGTTAATTAGAGCCTTAGTTTAATATGAGCTGTCAAAGTTCACTTAACTTCAATTAATTGTTTCTCCTGAGCTTAATTTCTTTAGTTAAGTATTGATTAATCATTGCTTAATTATGCTGAAGTCTCACTGGGTGATATTTCAGTTGCATACCGCACCAATGTGCTGCTTTCTAAAAATACTTAGAGAATCATCAGAAATTTTATGTATTGCTATTATTGGGATGTCTTTTAATATTTATCTTTTCCTCCCTTATGTTCCAAAATGTATATTTAACATTTTGTGTTCACTTCCACTGATTTACAACTCATTTTTCTCTATGTTGGTAGGTCATACAACAGAGTCTTGCTCTGCCTGGTGAGGGGAGAAAAGTTTTGCCCCTGGCATCCAGAGTCTTATGCCAGGAAGAGTAGGTTAGGGAACACAAGTAAATGATCTTTACTGTGGCACAATATAAACAACAAAAACATTGATGGCATGGTTTTTTTCTTTGAACATTTACTTTAAGTGACATGCAATGACTTTGGCTCAAATATTATCTGTATTTCCTCAAATCCACAATGCTGGAGCTCTTATGAATGTGGCCTTCAGACCAAGGCGCTTCCAATCTGAAATCTCAGTCTGTTCTGAAGTATCAGGAAGAGAAAACTACCTCCACCTCTCTGTAGTATTTCAACAGCTCTGTAATGTCAGGTTGGATAGCAAGTATCTTAATTTTCACAGATAAGTATAATAACTATTACATTTTTTCCAAGGTCTCTCTTGAATTTTAATATTTACCCAAATTAGAAGTTAAGTTTGATCTGTAGTGAGAAATTAAACAATTACCTTTTCCCCCACAATAATTTCCCTGGAGTCCATTTAGGCATTTCATTTTACCTCCACACAGAAGCATTTTTTATTATTTTTCTAGACAAGAAAGAGTCATTCCCCAGGGAACACTTCTCGGCTTGACTCGGTTTTATCACAGTCAAGTTTTAACTTTCTCCCTGTGGTACACAATCACTTTTTCAGAGATCTCTCAACCTACTACTACTAAAATATAATTTTGAACGTGTTCTGTGCTGTAGGAGTACTCAGCATTATTTACTACTGTCATTCCAGAATCTCAAACGAGCACTGGTAGGAATATGCTGTAAAGAGAGTAATCAAAATGACATCCTTTTCTACTACCTTTCACCTGCTCAGTGGTGTAAACATCTGGCACCTTGGGAATGCACATCTTTGCTGCGTGAAAGGCAAAATAAACTGGTGAATAGACTGATTGTTACATAGATCATGGAAAACACTTCTGTTCCCTTATACTGAATGACACAATAGACTGAATTTTCCAGAGAGGAATGGATGAATTAGTCCAGGATAAAAAAGTACTGACTAAACCCTTGCTCAGAATTTCAACAAGTGCTAATCAAAACATTCCCAGAGTACAATTAATCTGTCCTTTGTTATTCACTTCCTATCACAACTCTGTGTTTCTGGATTCTGATCAAAAGCAGAAACCCCATTCCTATAGCACTGCTTGGTTGTAACAAATTTGTACCAATAGATAATCAAGAAACTGAAAAGCAAGTCTGTTGTCATGGCTCTCTTTGCATCTTCATCTAAACTCTGTCTCCTAGTCCAGGTCATTACTGATGCAGGTGCTGAACAAACACACTCCTGCTCTGACAGGCTCACTGGAAAAGAAGAAACAAAGAATTGGAAAAAGGAAGTTTTACCTTCCCTGGTTTCTGTAAAGGAAACTGCAGCACTGAGACACAACAAGCTGAATTTCCCAGTGTGATTTGGATCCATATTCATTAAAATGATAAGTCATTGATCTTAATTACAATCCCCAGGATCCTGCCACATGCAAGTCAAGCTGTTTGTGGAAGTGTAGCAAAATCAACTTGATGCACATCCTCAACTTTCTTATGCTAATTCCTAAAGACAAAAACATTCCCATTTTGTCAGCTTTCTCGGTGTCAGCCACAATTTTACAGCTCAGCATTATTTATTTATATTGTAACCTACCTAAACAGGCAGAGTCATCAACCACAGTTGTATCAGGGGCTTTGCTACCAGGAAACAAAACTTCTAATCCAGGTGTGAAGATGAGGCCACAGAGATGAACAGGCAGTTAAAGTGGGAATTATGAGTTTATCAGGGCAATCAGCCTGGTCAGAGGGGACCAGAGCTCCTCCAATCCCCTTCTGCAGACTGAACCCTGCCTGAATAATGTTAGGAGAGATGGCTAAATCTATGTGCCTATGAATGTTTCAAACATTCCAGTACTCTCTAATAAAGGAATACACACAAGGCTTGCATGAGCTTTTCCATCTGTCACATCCAAATTGCAAAATCAAGCACGGCACCATGCAACTCTATACCCAGTGATCTGCTGGAGTTTGCAAGTTTTCTCTCCCGCTACATTAATAATGTGACATGTCCCCATTAAAATAATAAATAAATAAATTTAAATGAAGGGAGCCATGGCTTATTTCTTTCAGCACACCTTCAAATGCACAGAATCCCTGGGTCCCCTGGCTGGGCTGTCACAACCTCCTTTTTGTTAAGGTCTCTTAAACACTTTTTTCATCCTTCCAGCTCGTCTGAGAAAAGAACAGGAGGACAAAACATTCTTACAACTGCCTGTGAACCTATACACTGAGAGTGTCCTGTGGGAAGTCTGCTGTGGATTTCTGGTCTCTGGGACATGTGGTCTGTGAGGCTGACTGCATTCAGGATACGACACCTTGTAGAGGAAGGGCTGTGATTTGCTGTAAAAAATCGTTCAGGCATAAGAGGAGAGAAAGAAGTTGTAAAAGTTAAAGCAAGATCCTCAAGAGGCATCTGCACTGCCAGTGTCTATGAGTTCAGTGTGTACCCTCTTTTCTCAGCACATTTGCTTTGGGCAAAACTATAATAATAATAATTCATCAACTGAAGTAGGTAAGTGTTCCTGTTAACATATCTATCCTAAAATACTTCTGTTATTAATAAACAACCAAGTAAAAGCTGCAGGTCACCATAACTTTATCAGACTTCTCACCCTAATAATCTGTTTCCATTTTGAGTTACACTGTGCAATTGACTGCACAGTGCTTTCTTGCTTTTCAAAAATTTCAGTTTGCTTCCTTGCTTTTCAAAAAACCACAATTGCTTCATTTGGATTTGCTGATTTTTGATAACTGAATTGGCTTTTGTACTGTAATAATTTCTCCTTCTATTTCTCCATCTTTCACTTTACAGGCGCTGTAGTTTGGTTTTGAATCCTGCTCTCCTGGTACCAGCAGCATTTTCACAAGGGCTGAAGCTCTTGTGGCTGTTCTCATCCAACTTGGTCGAGCAGACTAAAAGGAAAAGAAATGCAGCTAAATTCTGAGGGATCAGGTTCTACCCTTCGAACATATTATGCAACTTTTCATCCTTTGAGTAGTCTTATTGATTTCAGTGGAAGAATTTGTTATTGCAGAATGTGAATAAGATGCCAGAATTTCACCCTAAATATTTCACTTTACAAAGGAAGCCATGATGCAGAAGAAAACACACCCTGAGCTGCAGCAGGACACAAAATTTGCAGTTACAATAAAAGCTGGGAAGCCTTTTTCTTCTTTGTGATGGTGGCCTCCTATTGAAAGTGCTTAATAAACAGAACCAGTTCTGTGTGAATAAAATGAAAGATGTTCATAAACAAACTGAGAGGCTTCTAATCCCTACAGCACCACAAATAATTCAAAGAAGTCTTGAAGTGCCACGATAATGGCACAAGATGGTTATCTCTGTATTATTGGTTTTGTCTACATCAAAGAAGGCTCTGTAGGAAAAAATAATGTTGCACAAAAAAACCCAAACACATTTCTTTTTTAAAAAGCAGACAATTAAAATTATCCAGAAGTTAAGGAAAATATGAACTAAAAATATTTTTTCTTTGAAAGTCTGTATTACCCTTAAAACAATTTTATGGTGGATATTGCAGGCTCTGGATTAACATAAATGTCTGATTGAAAATCTTTGTAAGGATGTTAAGATTAAGTACACAGCTCTTAAGTTCTACAAATACAAAACTGATTTCAAAGGAATCAAGTGATGAGTATGGATGTCCATGAAACAAATATAATGTATTCATAAAGGCTTTTTCCACTAGTCAAGACATAAAGTGACAACAACTGGACTTGTCACCTGCTTCTAAAATTGCTTAAATTAAACACTATGGGCAACACTGAAAAAGGAAAGAAAGAATTATGAGCCAGCTGTACCTGTGGTGTGATAACATTGCCTTCAGGATGGACAAGGCGCTGGTTGGTCAACTTCTATGTTGGTAATTTTGGATGTACATGAAGTAAAGAGAATGTGGTGCTGAATGAATGGCCAAAAACTGTACAGGGCAAATTCCACCTAGTACAATGTCAGCAAAGCCTGGGGACTTGTGAGGAGGGAAGGGAAAGAGAACTCCTTAATCTACATGACATTATAAAACAAATCACAAAGCTTGGCATGCCCTACACCAGTGGAAGCATGACACACCAGGCAAGAGAGTTGCCCCAGATGCTCATTTCTGTCCCATAATATTCAACACCTTTCACAGATGTAGAAATTCGAGTTCCTGGTGAGTCAGGGCCTCCTGATGCTTTGCACAGTCCCAGGAGCACTTCACGTAGAGGTGCAGTGGGACTGCCTTTCATTTCTCCAACAACCAAACCAGTGGACAAAGGAGTGGGCAAAATCCAGAGTGTTTTGTGCCTGCCTTGTTGTCAGGCACAGAGCTGTGTGTTTGCCTTTGTCCCTTTTGCACGTGGGGTCACACCCCCATGTCACACTGCAGCAGAAACCTCAGCAACAGTCTGTGACAGCCTTTACTCCACCAGAGAGACACTGAGCTATGGCATCCACTTATTTCCTGTCCTACCTCTAAATCAAGGCTAAACGAGGTGAAAAGCAAATAGATTTCAGCCCTTGTATGTTACAGCGCCTGAGTGGGTCGCTGCTGGTGAGAGAGAGACGGTGAATCTTGTTTCTTGATCAGAAGGCTGTATTTATTGATATATGATATAAAATACATTATGACTATACTAAATAGAATAAAAAGAGAAGTTTGCAGATGCTGCTAAGCCAAGAATAGAAAAGAAAGAATCTAAAACAAAGTTGTGCCCAGGGACTCGGTCCCCTGGCTTGCTCTTGTGATTGGCCCTCAATTATAAACATACAAACATGAGCCAATCAAGGTGTCCCTGTTACATTCCACAGCAGCTGATAACAATTGTTTACATTCTTCTTCTGGGGCCCTCAGCTTCCCAGAAAATGCAGAAATCTGAAAGAAAGGATTTCTGTGAAAAAATGTCTGCGACATCTCACCTTTCTAAATTGTATAAAATAAAAAAAATGCTGATGTGGAATGAACAGGAAATTTCTTCACCTGTAAAATATACAATACTAACAAATCACTAAAACAATCCTATAATCTAAGAAAATGCAAAAAACAATGCAAAGAGAATTCAAGTCCATGCAGCTGAGTTTCAGGAACAGTCCATCAGCTAAAGTTGTTTCTTTTGGACATCTGAGAGTCCTTTTCGGTCCTGAAAACAAACTTGCTGCAAAAGGAATCCCATCAATAGTTATCAAAAAACCATTGACAGTCATAACACAATTTTAAACAGTTTGTGGAATGTCCTTTCTGGCCCTTCAATGCTTCAGAGCTGCTGCCCGCTATTTTCAATCTTTTTTATTTAATTTAAATTTTTTTTTTTTTTTTTTTTTTTTTTTTTTTTTTTTTTTTTTTTTTTTGATTGAAGAGCAAAAGAGCAGAAGCCGAGCAGAGCAGTGCCAGAGAAGGAAAGGCCCTGGGGGCCCTGGCCCATGCTGGACCAGGAACCCCAAAACTGGCTCACAAAGGGGGACCAGGGCCTGTCGGATAGACCACAACCCCCAGAAACATCAGGAGGCCAAATGCTGGCCCTGGCCCAGAAACTTTCTCAGCCCAATGGCCCAGGCCAAACCCATGACAGAGGCTCTGCATTCCCGCAGGCCTGAACCCTGCTGCCAGCACAAGGGCAGCACGGGCAGTGAGATGCTTCCTTTCCCCAAAACCACTGAGGCATGCCAGCAGTGAGGAAATAGAAGCCTTCCCCAGCAATGCCATCTGGGGTCTGTCTTCCATCCGCTTCATGGCATCACCCCCACCCCCTCCGGGCTGGGGATCAGAGGCAGGGCTCTCGGGATGCACCTGCCCCCCCATGCCACTAGGACGCAGGAGAGGCGGCAGCCTCCATGGGACAGCAACCAAAACACCACCCCCCAAACCGCGGAGAACGCTGATCTTAAAAACAGGCAGCTGGACTGCCGCAAGAGTCAGCTGGCGGGCAGCCCCCACTCCACTGAAGGAGTGACCCCCCGCCGGGGCAGCTGCGGGGGCAGCCGGTCCGGGACGGTCCGGGCTCGAACCAGCCGCCGGTGCCATGGCAGTCTCTGACGCCGACACGGAGGACAGAGCCTCCGACAACGCCAGAGCCGCTGGAGCGGCCAGTCCGAGCGGCGAGGGGGGGGCCGGAACTGGGGAGGGAACCGCGCTGAGAGTGGGATCAGCCGCGGGCTGCTCGGAGGGTCCCGCAGGTTCGGCGCCGTTTTCAGCCCCATCCTGAACAGGAACTGTCTCGCCTTGAGGCGGCGGGGATGCGCGGGAACACGCTGTTGCTGCGTCCCTTGGCTCTGAAAGCGGCGGCAGGCACGGCACAGGCAGCAGCGGAGCCGGGAGAAGCGGCGGAGCATCGCTGTTGCTTAGCAACAGCTCAAGCACAGGAAGTGCTGTCTCTTCTGCCTTCTCCGACGCTGAGCCGGAAGCTGGAGACGCATCCTCGTCGTTGCCTAGCAACAGCTCAGGGGGCGGGGAGGCCGGTGAAACCGCGGGCGGGACAGCCTGGAGAGGCGGAGACGGGATCTCCTGGAGTGACGGCTCTGGCAGGACCGGAGAAACATCAGAGACCGGTGCCGCCCCCATGTCTGAAGGCGGAGTCTGAGAGGCCGGCGCTGGCTTGAGCGGCCACTCCCATCCCCCCGGAGAGAGAGAAGGGGGGGAAGGAGAAAACTCCATCTGAGCATGCTCCGGAGCAAGAGTAAAAAAAACTTCTTCGCCCAGCGAAGTTTCAGCCCCCCCCGCCGCGAAGCAGGGCGGGGGGAGAAGCCCAAAGTCATCACCCACCGGGTCTTCTGCCAAGGAGGGGGGAAACGGTGCCTGGCCATAACAATTAGAAATCCATTGGAAACAAGCTGCTCTGCGTTTCAGAAGTGGGAAAAGCTGTATAAATGCTGGGTAGATAGAAGGCAGGACACGTCCCTGGCTCCAGACGAACTGGAAAATGGAGTCCATGCACTCCCAGACAAAAGCATCTAAAGCGTACAGGACATCAGTAAAGAACCCAAAAAGCTTTGCCCATCTAAAGAATTTATAGAGATCTGTTTCTGACAAAAAGCAACCATCTTCTCTAGACCAATGGTTCCAGAGGGCTATAAGTTTCTCCTCTGAAGGGGAGAATTGAATCTCTTCTGGCAAGGCATGTGTCTGCCATACAAACAGCCACAAGCTACGAAGGGCTGGTTCATCAGGGATAGAAAAACCCACAGTACCTTTTGAAAGAGTCCAGCTTGCTCTGGCCAGCTCCACAGGTCTGCTGCTCTTTTCCATCATCTTTCCTGAAGGTTTTCCAGAAGAAGGTTCTCTTTGTGGTCACTTCAAAGCAACCATCAAATGCTACACATACAGGATTTTTACCCAGTGCAGCAATTTTGCTCCTCTGGTCTTATCAAATTAATTTTTGCTCTGACACGAGGGGTCACCAGATGTTACAGCGCCTGAGTGGGTCGCTGCTGGTGAGAGAGAGACGGTGAATCTTGTTTCTTGATCAGAAGGCTGGATTTATTGATATATGATATAAAATACATTATGACTATACTAAATAGAATAAAGAGAGAAGTTTGCAGATGCTGCTAAGCCAAGAATAGAAAAGAAAGAATCTAAAACAAAGTTGTGCCCAGGGACTCGGTCCCCTGGCTTGCTCTTGTGATTGGCCCTCAATTATAAACATACAAACATGAGCCAATCAAGGTGTCCCTGTTACATTCCACAGCAGCTGATAACAATTGTTTACATTCTTCTTCTGGGGCCCTCAGCTTCCCAGAAAATGCAGAAATCTGAAAGAAAGGATTTCTGTGAAAAAATGTCTGCGACACTTGTAAACTCACGGGGCAAGCTGAATGGATAAACTAAGATGTTTCACCATCATATATCACCCTGGTGTGTTAGAGTTGGCTATGTAATAGGTTCATGGCCATCTCAAAATGAGTGGAAAGGTGAATGCTTCCATTGTAATTACTTGGCTAAAAAAATACATGTCAGTAATCCCTCTTCTGCCCTTCACCATTTAATTGTGGTGGTTTAAGGTTTACAATGAGAAAATGCTATATACTTTTCAGTGAAAACTGACTGGGCTCTTTTTTAGAGATAAATTACTTAGAGCAAAAATAATATTCTATTGAAAATGATTCCTTAAGGTCCATGTCCCTGTTGGTTCAGGTTAAAGGATGTATGGGCACATTTGCACAAAGAATTGCAGCTCTGCAAGGCTGTGACTGAAAGAGAATCTCAGCTTCTCTGTGTGAAGCTAAAGGGAAAAACTGTGTAGGAAATTTCAGTTCACTTACTTGGCTGGGATGAAAAGTTTCAAGAAAATAACCAGAGTACATCTGCTAATGTGCCTGAAGGCATCATCAAACTGAGACAGCAGCTCAGATTAGGGTCACCTGGCATGCTCACTTCTGTAGGATCCTAAATCTATAAGCATCTGTCCTCAGGGGCCTTTAAGGAGCTGGTCCCTATCTTCCCTAGCAAATGGCTGTGAAAGGAAAGAGGAAGAGGAGGAAGGATGCAGGAACTGATTCCCTTGACAATGAGAATTACTGAGCTGCCACTTCTGCCTTCTCTAAGGTTCAGGATGTTTCTCCCATCTTTTTAATCAGTGTGAGGACCATTTCAGTGGGAAAGCATAATCATAGGGCAAAAATAATCTCATAGCCACAAAGTTATTCTTTAAATGTGGGCTGAACTGCTTATGAGGTTAAGGTGAAGTTGTATTTTTATGTCCAGTGTGGCATTCACATTCGCTGAACGTGATTCCTTTGCCCAAGGTTTTTCTCCTGGGAAGCTGAAAGGCAGCGAGAGGCCTCAGAGAAAAGGAAACCAATTCTTACCTCATTTGCTTCTCCTGTGTTGTGCTCATGTGGATTGTGTTTTGAGATTGTTTACCCAAGGTGATTGCCTGATTGAATTCTGGTGTGAATTGTTTTCACCCATTGGCCAATTGGGGCCAAGGTGTGTTGGGACTCTGGAAAGAGTCATGAGTTTTCATTATTATTTTTTTTAGCATTCAGTAAGTATCTTTTCTGTATTCTTTAGTATAGTATAGTATTCTTTAATATAATATAGTATAATAAAGTAATAAATTAGCTTCCTGACAACATGGAGTCAGATTCATTGTTCTTCCCTACCACGGGGCTTGCCGTGAATTTACAATATTAAATATTATGAATTTACAATTTACAATAGTGCAGCTCTGCTGTTTGGCTCCTGGAGCACCCTTTGCACTGATCTGGCTGTGGTCCACTTGTTCTGAGTGCGACTAAGGAGTTGAATGAACTTTTCTAGTAGAACCAAATAATGTTTTTCACTCCTAATGCATCTTGAAGAACTACCAGATTCATTATAGAAGTTGCTCTTTTGTTCCTTGTCTCTACAGAAAAAAAAAAAAAAAATTCAAAGCACTTTGGAAGACAATCTGTCCCTATGTTCTATCTGCCTGTTCACAGGATCAGGAGCATCAGGAAAACCTCCTGGCTTTTCCATTCTCCACTAATACCACATTACAATGTGCTGGCCATTTTTCCCTGTCATGTTTTGAGCAGTTTCAAATGAGGTAGATTAAAACCTTTTCATTTATTTATAACAGTTGCAGTAAATTTTAGGGTAAAGCAGGAGGCTATTGGACAGCAGTATTTTGTTTCATTCCCTCCTCAAGTTAGGGCTATGGAACATGGGGAGCTGATATTAGGTTCTGGCAATTTAAGTCTGTTTAGCAAGGTTCTTAATAATCTCTGCATGTATATCACAGAGAACCTTTCACATATTGCTTTAAATAATTCAAAACTGCTCCAATATTGTATTAAATAATTCAAGAATCAGACAGGCTCTGTGATTAATGATGTGTACCTGGAATTTCTGCAAACACAGCAAGGAGTCAAAGTGTGCTCTAGATAAAAGTGTCCTGGCATAAGATCCCATTTACTCCTTGCCAAGGCAATAGTATGTATTAGAAAATTGGAAAAGAGCCTGATACTCACTGGAAAACTGACTGAGGCCAATGGTTAATGTGGCAGCTGCTGAAAGAGTTTGTTCTTCCAGACAGACAATACTAATTTGGCTGAGAACCTCTATTGTCTTCTGACTTTCATTCTTAATCTTCATGAACAGCATTGGTGCCTGATGTGATAATTAAATGGAAGTATAAATATTTCTGCAGGACCTGGACGTTTGTCCTTGTATTTTACCAGTCTTCATTTGAGAGCATGGAAAGGGTTTGCTTTGTAAAGCAAAGCACTTAAGCTTATTTTGCAGCTTAACTTAATCCTAAAGGGCTGGCTGGGAAGTTGCTGTTCTTCTCAGCTGGGCTTGGGTCTGTGATCTTGAAAAGTACCTGGAAGTCTGCTGTTCTTCTCTATCACTGTCATATTTTCTTAAAAATCTCTTTTCCCAGGATTTTTCTCCTGGGAAGCTGAAAAGCCTAAGAGAAAAAGGAAATCAATATTATCTCATTTGCTTCTCCTGTGTTTTGCTGCTTTGGAATGTGGTTGGAGATTGTTTATCCAACATGTGAATAGTTTTTACTTAATGACCAATCATGGTCAAACTGTGCCAAACTCTGAGGAGAGAGTCATGAGTTTTTCATTAGTATCTTTTACCCTTCTGTCTGTATCCTTTCTCTATTCTTTAATATAGTTTAGTATAGTATAGTATAGTATAGTATAGTATAGTATAGTATAATATAATATAATATAATATAATATAATATAATATAATAATAAATTAGCCTTTTAAGAACATGGAGTCAGATTCATCATTTCCTCCCTGCTATGGGGGACCCCAGAAACACCACACCTCTCCATTTGCTTTTATGGGCAGATGAATGTGGAGCAGCATTATTAAGGCAAAAAACCCCCCAAACCCTAAATGCTAGAATTGCTGAGTTTTCACCCTGTTGTACCTTCTTAGTACAGATGAAACAATTGTGGTTTAGACAGTACCAGCAAGAGTTTTTCCTAGGAAATGAATAGATTGCTGTAACCTCAATGTATTTTTTGGTTAAGGGATTTCTTTAAGACACAAGGAAAATCAATGCTTTATTGAGGTGGAAATAAAGCAACCAAATCCTTCTAAATAGCCTTTAAAAAAAAAATAAATGATATGCTAGTGAGCAAAACGGAATACCCAGGAAGGAGATTACAATTATCAGCATTATTGGAAATGCTCTGCAGATATCTTTATGGGAGTCTGATATTGGACTCCCAGCCCAGCCACCTCAGTTAGCAACCACTCACAAACATCAAAAGGACCAGCTGATTTTATTGGGTTTTGGATATTTGCAATGAAAGACTCCACAGGGGATACACTGATATGTGTCCAGCATTAATATTTAAACACATTCAAGATTTCTAGAGGAAGAGACAGAGAAATAAAGAGAGCTGCTGGTGTGGCCAATGCATTTGGCATGCCATCCATGGCCAGTGTATTCCCCTCTATGTACCTCTCTGCTCCAGCAGCAGCTGGTGGCCTAAGGGCCATTTGGATAAGGTGAGGCACCAGCCTGGATGAAATAAATTTTTACAAAAGCTGCACAGGGAATATTGACATTAGAAGCACAAGCTGGGGAGAAGATTGGTGGGTTGGTTCTTAGGTTTTTTTAGTTGTGGCTTTTTGTTGTTTTTGGGGGTTTTTTTGTTGTTTTGATTTTGGTTTTGTTTTTTTTTTAAGAATGTGCATCTCAGAGGGAATCACAGGTATTTACGGGCAGGGACAAAACCCAAGGTGTATCAAATGACTGATATCTAGAACAAAGCTATGTACACACATTTGCATTTAAATAGTAGAAGCTATTGGAAATTTCCCACACAAATCTTTGTTTCAGTAGTTTAGAGATCCAGGTTACAATAAACTTCAGCATTTTTACACAGGCTGTCTTCAAAATGCTGCCCATTGTTATCTAATAAATTGTAACCTCAGAAGGATGACCAATTAAGGTGTCTCTGTAAAAGTCTCAGGGATGAAACATCTTCTTTAAATAAAAGGGAAACATGCTAATTTTCCATCCCTGCAGATTAATTGAAGGAGCCACAGTATTCTTTTTGTGTTTCAGAGAAGAGCAGGGTAGAAGGGAAGAGAGAGGACATTGCAGGTCGGCCACTTTTGGATTTTGATGGAGTCTGCCTCCTGTAAAGAATGAATAATTCAACCACCCACGCCCCATAACCATTGAAATTACAGCCTCCCTGTTATTATAAAGCAATGTCTCAAAGGAATAAATAAAGTTGACAAAAATAGTCTTCATAAGGGTTGACACTGATTATATCAGACTGAACACACTCACTCATGGGGCTCGTCCACCTTTAAATGTCATCATGAGATGACACCTGTCTATCCTGCTGTCATTCTGAACAGAGAATAAGCCTCTGTTCCCAGTGGCTTCTCTTCCTAACAAGACCAATTCTAAGTCATAAAGCACAGGATGACAAGTCCTAAACCAGCACAAACTGAATGGTTTCTTGTTACTCCTACTCATAGTAGGAGGGGGGAAACCACTGAGAAGAGGAGTGAAGGGGAACTTCATGGCAGATAAATTTAAAATTGAAAAAATGTTGGATGTTGGTTCTGTAAAATTAACTTCTGCAGAAGACCATGTAGGAGAATGAAGTGACTGATATTAGACAGAAATTCTTTTCTTTGAGGGTGGTGAGGCACTGGCACAAGTTGCCCAGAGAAGTTGTGGACTCCCTTATCACTATAGGACATGAAAGAACGCAAGTGCACACCACTGCTCTCAAGGTGAAGAAAAAAGGGAAGTTTATTTTCTGACTCCAACATTTATAGTTTTCCAAAAGTGACAGTGGATTGGAGGGTAACAGTGCCACCTCTCTAATCACACTGGACAAACCAACAGTCCATCAAATTTCTCCTCCTCCATAAAAGAATGCAAAACAATGAGCTATTTACAGAAAGTGTGTGAGAAAGTTTGTTACAAGAATGTCAACATCAGAAGGGTTAGAAAATCTTAAAAAAATCAGGGTGACACTCCCTGTCCCTGCAAGTTGAAGGCCAGGCTGGATGGGTCTTTGAGTAACCTGGCCAAATGAAAGGTGTCCCTGCCCATGGCAGGGCCATTGGAACCCTTTGATCTTTAAGATACTTCTAACCCAAGTCATTCTATGATTCTGTGACAGCAAACATTGTCCCTGCAGTGCTTTGGGTTAATCAGCAGTGGTAATTTAGCCAACTGCTTATCAAGGACTGCTGACCTTGTGGCTCTGTACTTCATGAAACTGGTCTGTTGGCACATATTTTATTTTTTAAAATTCATTTTTACTGTTGATTGTTCATCTTGCAAGATAACAGGCTCAGAGAACCACAGGTACTTCCATATCCAGTGAAATCAAAGGCCTAACTAGCCCTGGAGGAAACAGCCTGTTGAGAAAACAAATCATGGCGAGTCTCTGTGACATGGCTCATCTGAAACAGAAATGAGAATGATATTCAGCTTTTATGAACAAGCCCCAAAACCTTTTCCTTAGTCAGAAAATAATTTATTTCCTGATGACTTCCAGTTGTTTTATTAAATTTCTAGCACTGAGGACAAAAACATTCCAAAATGTGATTGTTCACCGAAACAGATTTTTTTCACTATTTTTGCTGCAGTTCACATTTCATTGCAGTACAATAAATTGACATAGTGCCCTCATGCCTCTTTCTCTTTGAGGGTGCCTCAGATATTAACAGTTCATTTGCCACAGAGCAGCTTAACTGGCCTGCCTTGCCCTACAGCACAATGGGGATGGTTATGGACACTCTGTGATACACACTGATATCCCCTAAGGGCAGCACATCCATTTATAATTTAATTCCTATGGCTTATTTCTTACTATTAGGTGGTTCTCTGTGCTGGTAGGAAATCCTAACTGCCCCATATGGACAGCTCAGATAAAGTGCCTGCCTGCCTGTGCTCCTTTTTTCCTGTGCACAGCAAGTTGGGCAGGAATGGAACAGCCTCAGTGCCCTGGGCATGAGAGGGAAGGAAACAAACTCACCTCAGGCTCCCACCTCACAGCTGCTGCCAGGCTCACTGTGGTCAGGATCCTGTAAAAACACACATTTAAACAGACATGCCTACACAAATTCACAAAGAATGCTGCATCCATTAGCTCATGGGAAACTGCAGACTTATGTGATGTGGCTTTTTGCTATTATCCAGTCCCTTTCCCTATGTGTCATTTCACGTCTTTGAAGCGCTGAAGGTGCACTGCAATCCAGATTCTGCAATTCAGAAAGTGTACATATATAAATGAAAGAAGGAACTGGTTGCTCTGAGCTATTTCCAAATCTAAATTAAGTTGCACTTACCAAAGAATGTGTTCAACAGCAGCAGGAGCTGCTTGTTCATATTTTGTGTGCATTAAAAAAGAGCCATCCCCATTTTGTTCTAATAACATGCCATTCAATAACTCCAGGTAAGAATACAGAGGATTAAAAGGGTTTTACATCTCTCCCAGATCCTCAAGCAGCTGTGCTATGCTGCAGCTGCACACATTGCTCAGACAAGATATAGCAGCAGGTAATTCTGCAATCATTGGCCCACAACATACACTGGGATCCAGCAATCCCCTGGTTAGTCTGGGTTCTAGAGGAGAAGCTAAATCCTCTAAGCCAAGTCCTCTTAAGAAAAAGGAAACAAATCTATTTTATTAAACAAATATATTTGACAATAGGATTATCTGAGTTTCTAAGGTTAGCATCCTGTCTTTCTCAGAAAGGCACTAAGCACACCTAATTAACACTATAAAAGAAACTAAACATATTGGTTGGGTACTAAGATTTTCTTTTTGCTCTAAAAAAAGAAATTATCATGACTAAATGAAAAGGACTGATGTCTGGCTTTAAAAATGGAGGAGGGGGAGGAGGTATGGTGAGAGAAAGGAATTACCCATTGATTTATTTTTTTAGTTAACAGCAAAGGGGAATGAGCAATTTAAGGTCAGCAGCATATTGTTCAGCTGGCCTCAGATCCTGCAAAATTACCAGCACTGTGTGTTGCAATAAATTGCATGCTTTTGTCATCCCTGTTTGTTTGAAATATGCGTGAAATGAAGAGGGAAACAGCTAAGACCAGCATTAAGAACAGCCCTGATCTGCCTAGAAGGTGAATGGAGACAAAATTGTCTGTTTTGTTGCTGATAGGAGAGTCCCTCTAATGCACAATCATTCCCACTGCTTTTGTAGCTGCTTCCTTCCCCTCTACCAGGGGCACACACAGCCAGGTGGGTCAGGAGGGCTGCTGGAAATCCCAGCAAAACCACTCCTCCCATTTCTCTCCCTCTGTACCCCAAAGGGCTCGTGTTTGGCTCTGCACAAAGTCTGTGTGCTGTCCCTGTAGTGCTGCAGGCTGCCCAGCCATCATGCCTGCATTTACTCCTACAGTCCCTAAAGAGTTCACCCTGTGCAAAAGGGATAAATTGAACTCAGAGGTGTGGCTCAGCCAAGGCACTGCATCACACACTGAGCAGGTTACTGACAGCCCAAGTAACTTTTCACACTAATGACTCTCTCATCAGTCCAGGAAAACAGGTCCTATTGCTCCAGAAGGTCATGTTGGCCTTTATTTTCCTCCTGGTGATGCAAGCACTGATTATAGTGCAGTATCCAAGACAGGCAATTTATGTCAGAATGTGGAGAAAGTGGCTTTGCTTATTGATGTGTTGTCATCGCAACGTTCAGCATCGCTGTTCTCAGCTCTTCACGTGAGTTACAGCAAACAGAGCCTGTGCCTGGCATTCACCTGCTCCCCAGGCAGCTATTGCTCAAAATGCACAATGGCCTGCAGGACATCCAGAGATTTGCCACTGCTCTATTGACCAGGCACAGCCTTGTGCTGCACTGTGGGATGAAGCAGTGTCAAAATGGCATTCCAGACTGGAAAAGTCAGGAAGCCACAGCCTGGATGTAGCCATGATATTTTTCTGAAAAATCCTTTCCTTAGGATTTTTTCTCCTGAGAAGCTGAGTGGCCTCAGAAATTAAATGTAAACAATTATTATTGTTTACAGTACTCGGCACTGGTGAGGCCTCACTTGGAGTATTGCATCCAGTTCTGGGCCCCTCACTTTAGGAGGGACGTTGAGTTGCTTGAGCGTGTCCAGAGGAGGGCAATGAGGCTGGTAAGGGGCTTGGAGCACAAGCCATATGAAGAACGACTGAGGGAGCTGGGGTTGTTTAGCCTGGAGAAAAGGAGACTAAGGGGCGACCTCATCACACTCTACAACTTCCTGAAGGGTGGCTGTGGTGAGTTGGGGGTCGGTCTCTTTCTCCGGGCAACAACAGATAGAACAAGAGGACACAGTCTCAAGCTGTGTCAAGGGAGATGCAAGTTAGAATTAAGAAGGAAGTATTTTACAGAAAGAGTGGTCAGATACTGGAATCATCTACCCAGTGAGGTGGTGGAGTCATCATCCCTCGAGGAGTTCAAAAAAAGACTGGATGTGGCACTTGATGCCATGATCTAGTTGAATAGTTAGAACATGGGTTGGACTTGATGATCTTATAGGTCTCTTCCAGCCTTGAATTTCTGTGATTCTGTGATTATCTGCTGCTGTGGAATGCAAAAGGTGAATCTGTGATTGGTCTCAAGTGGTTGTTTCTAATTAATGGTCAATCACAGTCCAGCTGTCCAGACTGTCTCTGGTCAGTCACAAGCCTTTGTTTTCATTCCTTTTCCATTCTTAGCTAACCTTCGGATGAAATCCTTTCTTCTATTCTTTAGTATAGTTTTAATGTAATATATATCATAAAATAATAAATCAAGCATTCTGAAATATGGAGTCAACATTCTTGTCTCTTCCCTCACCTTAAGACCCCTGTGAACACCATCACACCTGGACAGGTGAACTCTTTGCTGAGTCAAGAGCTGCCTGGGTGGCTGGGCCCAGAGAGTGGAGGTGCTGCATCCAGCTGGTCATTGATGGTCCCCCAGGGATCAGTATTGGGCCCCTGTACCAATCAATAATCAATACCTTCGTTGATTATCTGGGTGAGGGGAGCGAGTGCACTCCCTGTAAATTTGCAAACAGCAAATTGGGTGGGAATGTCAATCTCTCAGAGGCTAGGAGGGCTCTGCAGAGGGATCTGGAGAGACTGGATTGATGGAATGAGACCAGTTGCATGAGGTTCAATAAGGCCAAGTGCCAGGTCCTGCCCTTGTGTCCCAAGAAGCCCCTGCAGTGCTCCAGGCTGGGGAAAAGTGGCAGGAAAGCTCCCAGCAGGAAAGGCCCTGGGGTGCTGGGTGATAGCAGCCAAAGGTGAGCTGGGGTGTGCCCAGGTGGGGAAGGAGGGACAAGAGGCCCAAGGGCATCATGGCCAGCACCAGTGTGGCCAGCAGTGACCAGGGCAGTGATTGTCCCTCTGTGCTGGGCACTGCTGAGCCACACCTGGAGTGCTGTGTCCAGTTTTGGGCCAC